TTAATTTTCTGAAGGAGAATCAACATTGATACTGGGATTTTTTTCTTTTTAGGTCAGAGAGCAGGCCTTGGTGCCAAGTGGTGCAGCAGCCACAACTGAGTTCTGCCTGGAGCTACCCAGACTGCAAATAGATGCCCTTCCAGATGCAGAACTCTGGGGCAGGCCAGAGGCTATAGCATTCCAGGTTAGAGTTTAAAACAATCCTGTTTCTTTCTTTATTTTTATTTTCATTTTCTTTTTTTTGCATCTGAGATAGAACAAGCAGCTAGACTGCTCTGAATGTGTGGAGAGCAAAAAGCTTCAAAACTATTGCAGTCAGCAGTTGAAAGACAAATAATTTCCATATATACTCTTGCACATGCTATTTCAGAGCTAATGGGAAGTACTAATTTTGCGGGTGTTAAATAACTGATAGGAATATGACCATGGAGAAATGCACGTATACCTGAAAATTAATATCCCTCTATCCCCCTCCCTTTCTTCCTCTTCATATGAGCAAGACAAATTTAAAAAAAACGCTTGTGGTTACTGAGGAGGTAGGCAAACAGCATCAATGGTTCACAGTCCTGTCACTGTGAAGTCCCTTCTCTCCCTGTCCCTTTTCTCCCTCTCCTCATCTCTGGTTACAGTGTGCCTGTTTGGTAACTTTCTCAGAACATTATGGAGATTTTATTGTAAAATTTGCCTTTTATAACTAGGAGTCAGCTAATTGATTTTAATTTCACTGTATGCAAAACTATATCCTGTGATGTTGAAGGAGGTAAGAAGTTAATAATCACTTTAGGGACACTTCTTATTAAAAGGAGTGGAATTGTTTGCGGACATGTCCTCTAGAATTGCTATAATCAATCTGTGACAGGCACATATGATCTGCAAGAATCCTCTTTTAGGACTAGCACCATAGCACTGAAACATTTTGGATGCTTTTTCTGATGAGAAAAAATATATGATGGTGTTAATTTGCTACTGCTGTTTCCTTCACTTCACAATGACAAAACCTGATTGATTTCAGCTATGTTAACTTTTATTCTGAAAAGCAGTAGTGTGTTTGAGAAAGAGAAACAGCAAAAAAGGTTTGTAAATTCCCCTTTGAGGTACTAAATTTATTTTTGTCTATACTACAGATTTACATTCAAAAGGACAATTTCATATTATCTGAAGAGAAAACTATAACTTATAAAATGTGATCAGCTACTTTTAAGGAAGACTAATATTTTCAAGTACTTATGGTAGATATAAAGTTTTCAGTACTGCCTAATCATTGGTACTCTGTCATGCTGCTGATTTTATTATCAATCTAATCAATATTACAACTGGGACATTCTTCCAGTATATACATAAAAACAATTATATTTCCCAAGCTGTATTGTAATCAGATTATTTTGTCTGTCTTATAAACCTTGTTCAATTTCTCCAATTAACAAAAAATTCTCTTCCCTAATGAATTTGGAAGTATGCTATTTGGCATTTAGATATAGCTTGCTTGTCACTGATGATTTATTTTATTTTTCAAAGGACGTGATTCAAAGTTTTATGGACATCTACCAACTTGCAGCTAGTAGAATTGAAACATTACTGAGAGAATCTCCTCAGCTTCACACTGCAGCCCAAAGATCCAGACAACAAACATTCACCTTTCGTGAAAGTTATGGTAAATCACTTCTCAAGCAATTGTTGTCATTTCAATGTAGTTTCCTAGCCAGCATCTCCCTTCAAGCTGCATAGTTTCTGTAGGCAAATACATTATTACTTAATTATAAACATAATGGAGCAGTAAAACTAGTGTCAATAGAAACAGCCTGAGACTTTTTTCAAAAGAGAAAGACACTCAGTCCACTGGTGTCATGTTAAGTGCCAGAGAGTGTCTTTCATGGGCCAAAACCATAACGTATTCATAACATGACTGGGGGAATGCTTCCCAGATATTGCAAGAGCAGATTTGGATGCAGGCTGGATGAAAACTCTGCTTGGCTTTCTCTCTACCTCATCTAACCTTTTCTATACAAAATTTTTTTTGGATACTCAGTATCTAGGTATGTATACTTTTAGCTTGTTAGGCTATTGTAACACATTTGGAAATTGAAGTAATTTGATTTAAATGTTGCCCACAAGGCAAAAGGTTCTGCTAATAGGATGCAAGTGTAATTAAAGTGCAGAACCAAATGTAACCAGCTCTCAGTGACTGGAGCCTCCATTATCTATAGTTTCACAGTGGCCCCTGGGTTTGAAAGTTTATGTTAAAGTTACTAATAATAACTGCAAGAAAAAGAGCAAGACAGTTGAGCTGTTGAAACAGAGATGGCAACATCCTGAGGTGAAAAGTCACATAAGAAGAGTTGGTAGTCTGAATTTTAGGGCAGTCTTCCACTGGCAGGTGGTAGAAGCGCAAGACTTCTGGGGTGTGGTAGTCAGAGAATTGCATTCTGCAGCAGTACAGCTGCATAAACATCCCCAAAGGACGGATCTTGCCGTGAGCAAGTAACGATGTGGTTTTTCAATAATGCTGTTCCTTAATTTCTGTGAATTCCTGTTGGAATAATCTGGAAGTCATAGGCACACCATCTTCTAACAGACTGACATTTGAAGAGTATTAAGTGTTTGATTTCAATTGATGGTAAAATAAATCAAAAAGCAAATGAGTACCTTCTGTGGTTAGCATGGCAAATGTTTCCTAGTGACAGTGATAGGAAGACTGTAAAATAAGTTTGTTTACTTGATTAAAATGACCCATGCCCTAGAAATTATAATGATAAGGGTTAAAAGTTCTCTCTAAGTATTTGTAGCTCTTCAAATAAAGTATGCTATTGTTTTCTAACACTTCCTGGTGCAGAATACTTGATAAAAGGTCCTTGTTTCTATCTATTAGAGATTAATGTATGTGGTCAGGTGCCACATATTTTAAATAAGTGCTTCAAACAAGAAGGATACACTTGCAAGTACTTCACATACATACCTTTTGTGGAAGGTATTTAACAGTAAATATAGATTCCCTTTTGATTTTTTTTTTATTCTTTATTCTATTGCAGAAAGCAGGAAAGAGTCTAAACATCCAAGTAGCTTCAAGCTAGATAGTCAGGCTGACCAGACTTACGTCCCAGAGTTTTGGCCATTGCCAGCAAAAGCTGAAATGTCCTCCAGCATGACACTACAAAGAGCCAGTACTCAGTCTCCAATGCATGTGTCCTCAGGTGTGATACCAGACAGACCCAGTACCGGGTCTTCAATGTCCGCTGGTGGGATACTGGACAGAACCAGAACTCATTCTCCAATCCACATGTCCTCCAGTGGGATACTGGACAGAGCCAGTACTGGGCCTTCAATCCATGTGTCTCCTGGTGAGATACCAGACAGAGCTGGAACCGGGTCTTCAACCCACATGTCTGCTGATGTAATACCAGACAGAAGCAGTATTCGGTCTCCAATCCACATGTCCTCCAGTGGGATACCGGACAGAGCCAGTATTGGACCTTCAATCCATATGTCTGATGATGCAATACCAGAAAGAACCAGAACTCGGTCTCCAACCCACATGTCCCCTGGTCTGATGTCAGACAGACCTGGTACTGAGCTTTCAATCCATGTGTCCCCTGGTGCAATACCAGACAGAAGCAGTACTCAGCCTTCGATCCACCTGTCCTCCAGTGGGATACCAGACAGAAGCAGTACTCGGTCTCCCATCCACATGTCTGCTGATGTAATACTAGACAGAAGCAGCAGTCTATTTCCAACCCAAATGTCCTCCAGTGAGATACCAGACAGAAGCAGTACTCGGTCTCCAATCCACCTGTCCTCCAGTGGGATACCAGACAGAAGCAGTACTCGGTCTCCCATCCACATGTCTGCTGATGTGATACTAGACAGAAGCAGTAGTCTATTTCCAACCCTAATGTCCTCCAGTGGGACAGCAGACAGAAGCAGTACTCAGCCTCCAATGCACCTGTCCTCCAGTGGGATACCAGACAGAAGCAGCACTCAGCCTTCAATCCACCTGTCCTCCAGTGGGATACCAGACAGAAGCAGTACTCGGTCTCCCATCCACATGTCTACTGATGTGATACTAGACAGAAGCAGCAGTCTATTTCCAACCCTAATGTCCTCCAGTGGGATACCAGACAGAGGCAGTACTCGATCTCCCATCCACCTGTCCTCCAGTGGGATACCAGACAGAAGCAGTACTCAGTCTCCCATCCACATGTCCTCCAGTGGGATACCAGACAGAAGCAGTACTCGGTCTCCCATCCACATGTCTGCTGATGTGATACTAGACAGAAGCAGTAGTCTATTTCCAACCCTAATGTCCTCCAGTGGGACAGCAGACAGAAGCAGTACTCAGTCTCCAATCCACATGTCCTCCAGTGGGATACCAGACAGAAGCAGTACTCGGTCTCCAATCCACCTCTCCTCCAGTGAGATACCAGACAGAAGCAGTACTCGGTCTCCAATCCACCTCTCCTCCAGTGAGATACCAGACAGAAGCAGTACTCGGTCTCCAATGCACCTGTCCTCCAGTGGGACAGCAGACAGAAGCAGTACTCAGCCTCCAATGCACCTGTCCTCCAGTGGGACAGCAGACAGAAGCAGTACTCAACCTCCAATCCGCCTGTCCTCCAGTGGGACAGCAGACAGAAGCAGTACTCAGCCTCCAATGCACCTGTCCTCCAGTGACATACCAGACAGAAGCAGTACTCAACCTCCAATGCCACATGTCCTCCAGTGGGACAGCAGACAGAAGCAGTACTCAGCCTCCAATCCACCTGTCCTCCAGTGGGACAGCAGACAGAAGCAGTACTCAGCCTCCAATGCACCTGTCCTCCAGTGGGACAGCAGACAGAAGCAGGACTCAGCCTTCAATCCACATGTCCTCCAGTGGGATACCAGGCAGACCCAGTACTGGGTCTTCAATCCAAGTGCTCTCCAGTGTGATAACAGACAGACCTGCTTCTGGGTTTACAATCCACGTGTCCCCTGGTGAGATATTGGACAGAACAAGAACTCTGTCTCCAAGTCGCATGTTCTCCACTGTGACGCCAGACAGAAGTCATACTCCACCTTTAATCTCTATGTCCCCTCGTGCAAAGCCAAACAGAACCTATAGTGTGCCTTCAATCCATATGTCCTCTGGTGTGATACTGGACAGAGATGGTACTGGCTCTTCGCTGGACATATCCTCCCATGTGTTACCGGAAAGAGCCGGTACTGGCTCTTCGCTGGACATATCCTCCCATGTGTTACCGGACAGAGCCGGTACTGGCTCTTCACTGGACATATCCTCCCATGTGTTACCGGACAGAGCCGGTACTGGCTCTTCGCTGGACATATCCTCCCATGTGTTACCGGACAGAGCCGGTACTGGCTCTTCACTGGACATATCCTCTGGTGTGAGGCAGAGCAGAACCTTTATTGTGTCTGCGAGAAACTTATCCTCCAATGTGATACCACACAGAACTGGTATTGGTACTGGGTCTTCAGGCATATCCTCTGGTGTGTTGATGGACAGAATCAGTTCTGGGCCTTCAGTGGATGCATTCTTCTTTGTGAGACCACACCAGTTTGGTGGTGGGTCTTCAATGGACACAATGGACACAACAAACAGATCTAGTTCGCTGCCTTCAATCAGGACTTTCAGCCAGGATCTCTTATCCAGTACTAGAAAAACAGAAGGAAATCAATTTTCAGAGTCTTAGCTATGTCAGTTTCCCTTAGCTATATGTCAGCTTCCCCTTTAGAAGGAAAAAAATGTGTTAGTGTAAAATGATGTAATTAAAATATAATCTAACAACTACCTTGGAGTTGTAGTTTGGTGTCTGTGTGGTTTTTGTCCGTAATTTTATATTTTTATGAAAATACCCATTCATATCTTCACATTTCTCTGTTTCTCATTCTCTGTACCCTGAAACAGTTATTTTTTTTAAGTTTTATTTATTGCAGTTAATTTTTATGTAGTATATTTTTTAATGTTACAAAACAACACATTTTGGGTAATTTTCTTAATTCTTAAAAAAATCCATTAGCTATTTTAGTCTATTTCTGTCAAAGTTGTCTCATACCTGTCTATTTTAAACCAGGACTGCAATACTTCATTAAGATTGAGAGAACTCTGTAAAGCATATGCAAATGACTTCTGTCATTTCATGGCAGCCCCGCCGTGGTTCCCTGAGCCTCTTCTTTTCCCTTGTCAGCTCAACCAAAGATATACATTTAGTTGCATACTTAAAGCAGATTGAACAAAATAGAAAAGGTGTGATGGCTCTTGTGGTGCACACTCACTGATCTTTCTGCTTTTTCAGCTGTGTAAGAGTCTCATCCAGGCAAAGAGATTGCAGTAAGTGATACAAATCCCTTCGGCAGGAACACAAATGCTCTATAGTTCCAGCTGAAAGCTTACATCTGCACAAGATCTTCTGGCTGCCCCACTCTTCATTTGGTTTTGGCTGGAAATGCAATTGCACTTTCTTCCTCATCTAGAAGTACCAAGGCTGGAAAAAACCAGTCAGTGGGTGATATTCCAAAGGCAGTGTGGTCTGGAGTTGGTGAATGAAGGAGACCCTTCCCCAATTCCAAATGATATAAAATAAAAAACCAACCAAAACATAAAAAGGACTCTCCATTCTTAAGGAACAACTGACAATTCAGAAGTGAAGGCAGAACTTATTTGCAGGGTGAAAAGGAAGGGAATCTACCAATGTGGTTGAGGTTTTATAATGGTTTTATTCTGAGTCTCACTCACAGCTAACACTGGACAAAACCTTCTGGAAGGGCTGATTTCTCCTGACTGTCATAAATTGTTTCGCTGCAATGATCAGAGGCATCAGGCTGGAGGTAGGTTTGGCTGATGTTACAAATAGATGCCACCCAAAGGAAAAAAAGAAAAGAGATGAACTTTTACTTCCCAAACTCAGTTCCTCACAGGCTCAAGTAAGATTTCTCCGGTTCCCAGAAATACACAGAAATAGGACTGAGAGGACCATCTGCACCTACATGATCATGCCCAGGACCTTGCAATCTCAGGCAGATGTGGCCCATAATCCCCTGAATCCATTATCAAGGTGTCTTCAGATAACTGGGATTTTCGCCCTACTAGTTCTGTGGGAATGCTTCTTCCTGTCCAAGAGATTTGTTCCTTTCAGGAAACTCAAAATGCTTGCTCAGGTTCCTCTTTTCTGCAGACATGGGCTATTTTAGTTGTCAAAAAAGATGAGGAGCATAAACCATTTCTCAGGAAACTCCAATCCCTCCAAAAAATGTTGATCCTAGTAGGATTTAGGCCATGTGTTGTTGTGACGACCACTGAGGTAACCCTGTAGCAGTTCTCATCTGCTTGACCATGCCAGGCAGCAACTGGGGCTGGGTCAAGTCGTGCTCAGCTGTCCCTGTTTGGGTGGCAGAAACCCCTAAGAGTAGGTCTACTTTTACAAACAGAAGTTGTATTTGTTTAAATTAAAATTCTATTAAATTGTATTTAATGATACTAAATTTTTAATATAATTATTATAATTAATTTAAATGGTATTAATAAAATTTAAATTTAAGTTGTATTAAATTTAAAATTATAAGCAACACAACTAGGCCTGTATTTTCTGGTCTGAGAATATTCTGCATCAAAACTCTATAAAATCCTGCTGGTTTTTCCAAGCAGCACTGAACACAGAGATTCCTTCATGTTCTGCTAGGAAGAATGAGGAGAGACTGAAGGAGCTGGGGTTGCTTAGCCCGGAGAAGAGGAGGCTCAGGGGGAGACCTCATCACTCTCTATAACTCCCTGAAAGGAGGTTGTAGCCAGGTGGGGGTTGGTCTCTTCTCCCAGGCAATCAGCAGTAGGATAAGAGGGCATGGTCTTAAGCTCTGCCAGGGGAGATTTAGGTTGGATATTAGGAAGAAATTCTTTACAGAGAGGGTAATCAGGGATTGGAATGGGCAGCCCAGGGAAGTGGTGGATTCTCCATCCCTGGAGGTTTTTAAGATGAGACTGGATGTGGCACTTAGTGCCATGGTCTAGTAAGCACGGTGGTAGTGAATCAAGGGTTGGACTTGATGATCTCAGAGGTCCTTTCTAACCCAGCTGATTCTATGATTCTATGATTCTATGAATTTAGCCTCACGTGGCTTTCTGTCCAGGTTGATGCCTTAACTACAGATATTTCCCTATTTCCATAGAGGAGAAGTGGCATCCAGCACGTTATGGCTGTGGCAACTAGAAGTGCAAGGCACACAACACTAGGAAAAGTGTTTAAAAAAAGAGACCAGGTATTGCCCTGCGGTTAAGAAGGTGAAGCCCTTCACTCAGCTTAGTGCCCTCAGTACCCTTGTCATCATTCAATGGTAATTGTTTTCTGATCAATGCACAAACACTCCATGGAATAGAAGAGCTGCACCTGCCATCTCCAGTGCAACTGCAATTTTAAAACAAAAATATAGAAAGAAAGGAAAAATCCAGCCCTAAGGTTTAAGGAAAAATCCAGCACCTCAAAGGTATTGAGCCACTTAATTTCCATTATCTGTTTAGCACAGACAGGTGTCTCAATCCTACATATTTTTAGCTGGTAGAGACCATCTTCCCTGAACATCAGAAAAGAATTTTTAAAACTAAGAAAGAACTGGCGAAAGCTTCAATAGTCCTTTGTTTTTTCTTAACCAAATAAGTAAAAAAAATCTTTTTGAGAAAATCCGAGCTCCTTAAATATGTAAGAAAGGGAAATGAAGAATTATTGCCCTTTGGAGATGCCATTATTTTGCCATGGAGTTGGTTTTAACTGCTACCTTAAGATTGGGAGCCAAAAAATTACTCACCAGGCAATTATTAGTAGAGATAAGATAATAGAGCAGTTTTAATAGAGGGTCTTCCCCCACAGGGGTATAGAAACATGTGCACACGTGTCCAGGGGGTTCCACAATTTAAGGTATTATTCCATCCAATCTTAGATTTATCCACCCCCCAGGTCCTCCCCCCAGCACACCCTTCTGGAAATTGAGGCAAGGGGTTCAGGGACCCCCTCTTCCTCATCTTCCTCTTCATTACAGCACGTCCAGTCCTTGGAGCTCCTTCAAAGTTCTGGGTTTTGAGGGATGCTTTGACTATGATGTATCTTGTTGTTCAAGCCAGAGTGCAAATGTTCTTAAACAGAAAGAAGGCCTATCTTGAGGGAAGTCTAAGCAAGTGAAAGGAATTTAGAAAGTTGAATATGAAATGGGGTAATAGGGTTGGGTAAATGTGTAAACTACTGTGCTAAAGGGTGAGCTAACTATAGCTAGTCCTAAAATCTACAAGAAGCTAAAAATCAAAAAAATCCATAGGCATCAATCAGATGAAGTTTTATGACACACAGTGGCAATCACCCATCTTTGATGGGTGGACCTGCACTAAAGAAGAAAGTCAGTCTCCACAGACCGTCGAGTCACAACATGCATTTTGGAAAATCACAAGGCTCTTAAACAAATATTCTTCATTTGAGGAAGGCTTCCTTGCCATGCTGCAAATAGTCACAAGTAAATACGAGTTCACATAAAGTTAATTTTTCCAGGGGAAAAAAAAAAAGACATAAATAACACAGATGTGGAAGCTGAGTGTGCTTCTATGAGCAGATTTCCTGAATCCCCCATTTTGAGGAGTCTCAGCATTACACAACCCAGAGGGACCAGCTTACTCTGTGGGTGTTTGTGTTCCCAGTGTCAGGGTCTGTTTGGGAGCTGCAAAACATGAAAATCTTTTCAGAAGCCCATTAAAAAAAAAAAAGTTTAAATCAACTTTTAGGTTCAAGTGACTTGAAGGAACCACCCTACATTAGACACCACCTCTTTCACACCACACAGCACACGATTTTCCATAGTCCTTGTTCCCAAAGGATGGGGCCGGCTGGTCGCATCCACACTGTTCCCACATGCCTGATGCCATCCTTCCCACAGACCCATAGTACCTGAGACCGGGGAATCCACTCGCCAGGCACTGCTGCAGGAATGGGAATTGCTGCAATCCATTGGCAGATCCTGGGAGAGCATCCTATGTGGAACTGCTGCTTCAGGTGAGCAAACTGGAGCAACATGGATCATCCTGCTCCAGGTGAGCATTCTGCTCCGGGTGAGCATCCAGGAGCATCCCTCCTGCACAGTGGGACTGCGGCCCCTGGGATAATGCTGCGGTTCCCGGGATAACGCTGTGGCCCCATTGGACACCCCCTCCCTCCTCTGCACAGCCTCTGCCAGTGGTGGCCCCTTTGCCGTGCCAGGGTTATGTCCCATCCTTCCAAGTGCTAGGAGGGACTTGAACCCCCTTTCACGAGCTAAAAAAAAAAATCAACAAAAAAACCCCCTCACTTCCCCCTCGACCCTGCTTCTGAGATGCCCTGCACGAATTTCACCAGGGACTCGAATCCACCCTTGAAACTGATGCTGAATCTCCTCAGGGGATTTTAGCTCTCAGCCTTTGGCTTCTCCCTCCCCCTGCACTTTCTAAGTAAAGCAACCACGGCATTCCTCACCCAAATATACTGCCTTCAGTTCTGCCACATGATCAAAAAAGCCATGAGAAAAATATGAGGCCAGTTACAAAATCTTGTGAAATCAGATCTGGGAACATTTGGTTATAAAATAACAAATATCAACAGAAGCTGAGAAAATCCAACAATGTCAGAAAACATGCCTCAAGTACTTGCACTAGAAAAGCTCAGGCAATAAATTTAATTGTAATGAACACTCTCTTTCTGACATGTGAGCCATGCAATTGAATCTCCATGGACAGTGAAATAGGGACCCCTGGCAACAGAGGCTCCACACAGAGCAATGTTACACAGAACAGGACAGT